GATTATTCCTAACCATGAACATGGAATGTTTCTCCATCTGTTTGTGTCCTCTCTTATTTCATTGAGCAGTGGTTTGTAGTTCTCCTTGAAGAGGTCCTTTACATCTTTGTTAGTTTTATTCCCAGGTATTTTATTCTCTTTGTAGCAATTATGAATGGCAGTTCATTCTTGATGTGGCTCTCTTTAAGTCTGTTATTGGTGTATAGGAATGCTTGCAATTTTTGCGTATTGATTTTGTATCCTGAGACTTTGCTGAAGTTGCTTATCAGTTTCAGGAGGTTTTGGGCTGAGACGATGAGGTCTTCTAGATATACAAACATGTCGTCTGCAAATAGAGACAATTTGACTTCCTCCTTTCCTGTTTGAATACCCTTTATTTCTTTTTCTTGCCTGATTGCTCTGCCTCAAAAACTTTTTTAAAAAAGAAACTTGTTACAAGTGCAGATTCTCAGCCCTGGGTGAGGGTGGCTCACAACTGTAATCCTAATCATTTGGGAGGCTGAGGAGGGAGGATGACTTGAGCCCAGGAGTCTGAGACCAACCTAGGCAACACAGCAAAACTTCATACCTACAAAAAAATTTTAAAAATTAACCAGTCATGATGGCACACTCCTATAGTCCCAACTAATCAGGAAGCTGAGGTGGGAGGATTGCTTGAGTCCAGCAGTTCAAGCTGCAGGGAACTAGGATCCTGCCACTGCACTTAAGCCTGGGTGACAGAGCAAGAAGTCATTGTCTCTTAAAAATTTTTTTCAAAAACCCAGTTCTTAGGTTTCCATGCCAGATTTACTGAATCAGAAATTCTAAGAATGGGACCCAGCAGTGTTTTAATGACCTTAGGTGATTCTGATGCATTCTAAAGTTTGAGAAACAATGCCCTATATAACACTCCACATAGCCGGGCACGGGGGCTCACGCCTGTAATCCCAGCACTTTGGGAGGCTCAAGGCAGGCGGATCACCTGAGGTTGGGAGTTTGAGTGAAACGACACGGTGAAACCCTGCCTCTACTAAAAATACAAAAATAGCCAGGCATGGTGGCAGACACCTGTAATACCAGCTACTTGGGAGGCTGAAGCAGGAGAATCACTTGAACCTGGGAGACAGAGGTTGCAATGAGCAGAGATCGCACCACTGCACTCCAGCCCAGGCGACAGAGCAAGTCTCTCTCAGATTAAAAAAAAAAAAAAAAAGACTCCACACAACAGAATTAGGTTACAGATATCAGAAATCTAACTGTAAAATTAGATTTAATACAAAAGGGAATATCCTAGCTCATGAGGCTCAAGATAGTGGAGTAGCTCCTGGGATTAGGACCTACAGGACCTGGGCTTCTGGGACTGTGAAGAAGAAATGTTTCACTTCATGTTTGCTGATGGGTGCTCAGAATGGCTCCATCTCCCACCCACCCTCAGCCCATGTGCTGTTCATTTCTCTGTCTCTGCTTGTTTTTATCCTCTTTTACTGCAGACAGACTTCTGCACATGGTGAAGACGGCCACCTCCTCTACCCTGCAACCTGCACACATACATACCTTCATATACCTCTAGGACTTGACCTCAGAGGCAAGGCTATTCCTCTCTGGGCTTCAAATCAAGAAATCCCAGGGAAGAACTCCAAGGGCTAGAAATGTTAATGGAGTTGGGAAGTCTTGCAGAGGAGATAAATAACAGTAGCTACTGCAGCCTATTACATAAACTATAGTCAATTTTACTTCGAGAAAAGGAAGTTTAGAAAGATCATTTGCCTTGCCCAAATCACTAAGTCAGTGAAAATCAAAACCAAAAAAACTTAAAAATAGTAATATTTAACACTATACGATAGTCATTCATTTACTAAGGAATTTCTTAGAAAAAATTAGTTTAGGCTTTAAGTCTACATATTTGCACTGAACTTTCTCCCTCATAGAAAAAAAAAGTTTTATAAAAATAACTGCATGAGTCTAGTAAAACAATGGTGAAAGAAATATAATTTTTCCTATTGCAGACAGACGGTTGAGATTTTTTTGCATTTATGTCATTCAAAAATGATTGTTACAAACTTCAAACTTGGCAGCAATGTACTCCCAATGGAGGAAGGAAGAAAAATCAAGCCAATCTAAAGCCATGAAGATTTAAATAATATATTTAAGAAAAAGCATAAAATAGAACATTGTGGTTTTTTGCAAGAACTTAGACTTAAGGCTTCCTGATGAAAAAAAAAAAAAAAAAGTTTTATTTAAGGATTCTACTTTAGCAAAACGATTACTTTTTGAAAATGTGCCTTCTACCTAACCCCAGAAAAATACATACTAATGAAGTATACAAGTCAAGAACATACATAAACAAGGCATCAGTTTCTAAAGGTTTTCTTTCTTTTTTTTTTTTTTTCAGATGAAGTCTTGCTCTGTAGCCCAAGCTGGAGTGCAGCAATACCATCTCAGCTCACTTCAATCTCTGCCTCCTGGGTCCAAGCGATTCTCCTGCCCAGCCTCCTGAGTAGCTGGAATTACAGGCATGCATCACTATGCCTGGCTAATTTTTGTATTTTTAATAGAGACAGGGTTTTGCCATATTGGCCAGGCTGGTCCCAGCTCCTGAGCTCAAGTGATCCACCCACCTTGGCCTCCCAAAGTGCTGGGATTACAGGTGAGAGCCACTGTGCTCAGCCTCCAAATGTGTTCATAGCAATATTTATTTGATCTCTCCAGCCATAAGCTGCTCTTCCCATTTTCCCTTTGAACAAAATAATAGCCCATTATGGCTTTTATTTTTAGGGTATATTATAAACCCTATTAAATGTGCTATATAGCTGAATCAATATAAGAATCAAATACAAAGTTGGGCTGGGCACGGTGGCTTACACCTCTAATCACAGCACTTTGGGAGGCCAAGGTGGGTGGATCACCTAAGGTCGGGAGTTCAAGACCATCCTGACCAACATGGAGAAACCCTGTCTCTACTAAAAATACAAAATTAGCTGGGCATGGTGGGGCATGCCTATAATCTCAGCTACTTGGGGGACTGAGGCAGGAGAATTGCTTGAACCCAGGAGGCAGAGCTTGCAGTGAGCCAAGATCGTACCATTGCACTCCAGCCTGGGCAACAAGAGCGAAACTGTCTCAGAAAAATAATAAGAAAGAACCCTAATTCTGGAATTTCCTGATCTTTGAATGTCTACATTCATAACATTGTTGTGTTACACCATTTGTGGATAGTTTCAGGAAAATAAGTATCATTCTAGGTTTTGTCTTTCCTCCCCTCCCCTCCCCTTCCCTCTTCTCCCTCCCCTCTTTTCTCCTCTCCTCTCTTTTCCTTTTCTTTCCTTTCTTCTGGATGGAGTCTCACTGTGTCCCCCAGGCTGCAGTGCAGTGGCACGATCTTGGTTCACTTCAACTTCTGCCTCCCGGGTTCAAGAGATTCTCCTGCCTCAGCCTCCTGAATAGCTGGAATTATAGGCTCCTACCTCCATACCTGGCTAATTTTTGTATTTTTGTTGTTGTTGTTTTAGTAGAGAGGGGTTTCACCACATTGGCCAGGCTGGTCTTGAACTGCTGACCTTGTGATCTGTCCGCCTTGGCCTCCCACAGTGGTAGAATTATAGGCACGAGCCACCAAGCCTGACCTATACAAAGTAATTGTTTTTCAATTCTTTTTTTTTTTCTTTATTTTTTCTTACTGGCCTCTACATTAAGGACTGTTTTACAATTCTTTTCTCTGTTTTTTTTTTTTTTTTTTTTTGAGACAGGGTGTCACTTGTTGCCCAGGCTGAAGTACATTGGCACCATCTTGGCTCACTGCAACTTCTGTCTCCCAGGTTCAAGAAATCCTACCACCTCAGCCTCCCAAGGAGCTGGGTCTACAGGCACATGCCACCATGCCCAGCTAACTTTGTGTGAGTGTGGTGTGTGTGTGTGTGTGTGTGTGTGTGTGTGTATTTTTAGTAGAGACAGAGTTTGCCATGTTATCCAGTGTGGACTCCAACTCCTAAGCTCAAGTGATCTGCCCACCCCGCAGTTTTTCAATTCTTAAAATCATTATTGCCTCCTTCCACAAATTTCTGTCAAACAAGCAGGACAAAAGGCTTCTGCAAAAATAAGAAAGCATTAGTAGCTCATATGTAAAGGTCAGATCTTGGTGAAACATGAGCTATTTTTCTGTATCCTTTTGCAATAACTGTTCAATCTGGAAGTGTGTAAAATAGAGAGATTAAGCCTGGTTTCCCTTCACTTACAATTCCATTTTAGCAGATAATTGGTAAAAATAAAATCAGAGAAACCCAATCCTGTTCTCCATTTTGTACACTAAATAAGTCCACCTACACCATTTTGCCACAAGTAGATTTCTTACAAAATGCAAAATCCAAATCTTGATATGGAGATTTCCCCATTTGAGTCGACTTTCACCTGCCACTTTCCACGGGGACTCAAAACCTGTAACATACTACAACAAGTTCTTGTTTTAGCAGGAACATATATGACGCCTCTGGGTAGCAGAATCTTGCTTTAGAATGGGTTTTCCTTGTGTCTCATTGTGTGCTGGTTCCATGTGGTAACTTTCTTCTCTATTCTGAATTCCTGACTAGTGGGGATTAACATATGATGATAATTTTGATGGTAATAATAACGAAGACAGGCTGGGTGTGATGGCTCATGCCTTTAACACTAGCACTTTGGGAAGCCGGGACAGGAAGACTGCTTGAGCCCAGGAGTTTGAGGCTACAATGAGCCATGATTGTGCCACTGCACTCCAGCTTGGGTGACAAAGTGAGATCCTGTCTCAAAAAACGAAAAAAAAGAGAATAATGAAGATGACTTCACAATCATTTAAGGAGCACTTACTGTGAACCAACCACTGTACTAGAGACAGTCTATTCAGCTGCACCATCTATATCTTGGAAATTAGTCCACATATAAATGGTAAATCCAGAGATATCACTATAATGAAGATTGCTTTCAAATGTGATTTTCCCCAGCACATTAATATTCTGTAGCTCTGCTTCTTTGCCACGTCTACTGCGAGAATGAAGACCATTCTCAACAATTAGATGGTCGACATTACTCTGAAGGGACATGCAGTTATTGTGAAGGGCCCGAGAGGAACCCTGAGAAGGGACTTCAGTCACATTAATGTAGAACTCAGTCTTCTTAGAAAGAAAAACATGAGGCTCCAGGTTGACAAATGGTGGGGTAACTGAAAGGAACTGGCTACTATTCGGACTATTTGTCGTCAAGTACAGAACATGATCAAGGGTGTTACACTGGCTTCTGTTATGAGGTCTGTGCATGGTCACTTCCCCATTGACGCTGTTATCCAGGAGAATGGGTCACTTGTTGAAATCCGAAATTTCTTGGGTGAAATATACATTCGTAGGGTTCAAATGAGACCAGGTGTTGCTTGTTCAGTATCTCAAGCCCAGAAAGATGAATTAATCCTTGAAGGAAATGACATTGAGCTTGTTTCAAATTCAGCGGCTTTAATTCAGCAAGCTACAACAGTTAAAAACAAGGATATCTGGAAATTTGGGGATGGTATTTATGTCCTTGAAAAAGGAACTGTTCAGCAGGCTGATGAGTAAGATGTAAGAGTTGTCCAGCTACAGAAACAAGATGCCAGATGATTCCTAAGACCTACTTGTGACATTTTAAATAATGCAATAAAAGACCTATTGATTTTGGGGGAAAAAAAATATATATATATATGTTTTATAGCTCTAAGTTGTGTGCAGTGGTCCATGCCTGTAATCCCAGCACTTTGGCAGGCCAAGGCTGCGGTATTACTTGATCCCAGGAGTTTGAGATCAGCCTGAGCAACATGGCAAACCCCGATCTCTACAAAAATATACAAAAATTAGGTGTGTGTGGTGGCACACATCTATAATCCCAGCTACTTGGTAGGCTGAAGCAGGAGGATTGCTTGAGCCCAGGAGGCCAAGGCTGCAGTGAGCTGTGATGGCACCACTCCACTCTGGGTGACAGAGTGAGACCCTATCTCAAGAAATATATATATATATTTGCAGCCCTATGCACACGTTACTATTTTGCAGCTAATGTACCCTAAAAAGCTTTAAAAAAAAAGGAAGCCATGAAGTAATCCAGTACTGAACATGGTGCCCATTCACCCCACGTTCCTGGCTCTATCTTGGAGGTACTCGCTGGATCTCAGTGCATTTGGCCCTCATCTCTATAACTTGGCAGCATCAACCATCACTCACACGCTCCTCCATCAAGTAACCGTCTCCTTTTCTTAAAGGCAAAGGCAAGTCTTATAAATTTACTTAGTAGTATTTCTTTTTTTTAGAAGCTTAACTATGATGTATTTTATTAGGATGGGTATTGTTACCTGTTTTTTTTCCCATAAACCCTCTTACTTTTAGTGCACAAGTTTGAAGAATGGGTGTTTTGTTGTTTCTGCACATACTGCAGAAACGTCATCTAATATCCGTACAGTTTCACTCAGTTCTTGCCACTATTTTATGGCATAGGTTCCCATTAGCTGATACAGCTTCCCATTAGTTGATGGAAGGAAACCAAGGCTCAGAGAACTTAAGTAACTTGCCCAAAATGAGGAGGCACAATGCCTTTGAGTCATTATATACACCTCATCTATTACCTGGCCTCATCAACCTCTATTCAATTAGTCCTTGTAGCTTTAAAGAGGACCAAAGTGAAAACACAGGCAGTTGAGTCATGGGGAGGTCAGGGCAGTGATCTGCACTGCTGTTCTCCAAGATTGACAGTACTTCCTTTCCATTTATCATGGAAGATATCCCAGAATATTTTTTTTATGGTTCCAGAAAAAGGCCCATAAAAATAAATTAAATATGTGGGTCAGCTGCAGCAAGCTACTGATAATGTCACATGAGGGAGGCTGTGGAGTTCTGCACAGGAAAAAAAAGGGCCAGACTGGGCCTGATCTGATCCTGGCTTTACGGTAGAGTGATATATAGCGTATTCCAGAAGAAAAAAATTGGATGTTGAAAACTGAAATAAAAAGCAACCCCAGAAAAGATTCTCTATCATCTATTCAATTCCTTTTAGAAACTGAATGTCATTAAGGGAAACAGTATTGTTCTTATCGTAGATGAAAATAGTGCATTTTTAAAAAGAAATTGTGTTACACAATAGGATCCTATTTTTATAAAAATAGAATACACACACACACAATCTTTAGATGGTAAACATCAAGACATTAATGGTTGTTAGTAATCTCTAAGTGGTAGGATTATGGTGTTTTTTTCTTTTTGCTAATTTTATGAACTGTCTAAAATAGATCAGCATAATTTTTCTAACAAGAATTTATAAACATTACTTTTGAAAACAAATTTTTAGGAGAATTTGTGATTTTCTTTTCTGGAAATGATTTTGTAACTGCAACAAGTATTCATAGTTGTTTTCAGGTCAGTCTTTTAAAGATTGTTGTCACTCATGCTGTCATCCCTATAAAATGTCACAGACTTATATTGATCTTTTTTCTATTCTCTCATTTCAGCTTTCCATGACTCTGCTTCTCCAACTTTCCCACACCTTTTTTTTTTTTGAGATGGAGCTTTGCTCTTGTTACCCAGGCTGGAGTGCAACGGTATGATCTCAGCTCACTGCAATCTCTGCCTCCTGGGTTCAAGCAATTCTCCTGCCTCAGCCTCCCAAGTAGCTGGTATTACAGGCAACCAACATCATGCCAGGCTAATTTTTGTGTTTTTGTAGAGACAGGAGTTTCACCATGTTGGCCAGGCTGGTCTTGAACTCCTGATCTCAGGTGATCTATCTACCTGGGCCTCCCAAAGTCCTGGGATTACATGTGTGAGCCACTGTGCCAGGCCTTTTTGTATTTTTTTTTAAAAATAGAGACAGGGTTTCACCATATTGGCCAGAGTGGTCTCGAACTCTTGACCTTAGGTGATCCACTCACCTCAACCTCTTAATGTGCTGAAACAACAGGCATGAGCCACTGTGACTGGCCTCCATGCCTTTGATTTCATCCACAGTCACTGGTTCTCAGTCCATTCTGCACTGCTTTACTTTCGGCTGCTTCTCATTTCTCACCCTCCCTCATGCATCACTGCTTGCCTGGGACCCGCCACCTCTGTGCTGACTCTCGCATTTTCTTCCAGCTATTAAGGTGGCCATTATCGAGTGCAACTGGGGCTCCATCCCTCTGGGAATGCTCTGAGAGGTCATGTAAATTGTGAACAACCCCTGATGGTCAAGCATTGCTCCAGGAAATGAAACTCCCTGCCAGGTTTGCACAGCCACTGTGTCAGAGTGGCTGAAGAGTTCCCATAGCCAGCCCATAGGGCAGGAAGTGAGATCATTGGAGAAAAATGTGATATAGCTGAGGTAAGGTGCTGCTGGGTTCAGTGCTGGAGAAATTCTTAAGTGATTAGGATACTTCTGAAAGCTAGCCCCACCTGCCCCCACTGACACCAGCCCTATCAATGGCTAGAGTAAAAAGGTGGGCTGACATGATGGAAGATACTATACAATATGTCTGATATGTTGCCTCTCACAGAACATTGCCTGATACTATTCTCTTTGTCCAAGCCTTCAATTTTATCTGTCATTCTGATTCGCCTCTGGACACAATCTCAACAGGGAATCCTTCTCCCTCTGTAAAGATTAACCCAACAACAGTCTTATTATCTAATAGCACTATTCATCCAATTCCTCTGCAATTTCCTTTATGAATGATCAGATAATGACTCTTGTGTTGTGTCTTATATTATTTAACTCATAAATTACAATAAATTGATAACATTTTCTTAGGTCAGGTCCCCTGAGATACAGACTCTGAGACAGATTTGCCTGCTGGTTTATTGAGGTGTGTCTTCTGGTCAGCACCAATGGGTATGGAAGGAGATAGGATTGAAAAGAGGGAGGAGCTGAACTGGAGTGCAGCTGAAACAAAGCCAGGCTGCAGCCGGAGGGTAGCTCTGGATAGCCTATCTTGTCTCACCTTGATGCAAAGGGGGATGGGCCTTTGTACGCTGCCTCCATCAGTCAGTGGTTGGGGACTGACACCAGGCAGGGAATGTCATCAGGTGAGGGACTGAGAACATTTCCTGGAGAGTGACTCAGCTGAAAGCCCTTGGCCAACATTCCCAGCAGCTGGGGAAATGGCATCTCAGTCCTGCAGGGAAGTTCTGGGCAGCCCACAGTACTAACTATGGTCCACCCTTTCAGCTGCTTGGATTACTTTTTGTAAATTAGGTTTTGCAAATCGTTCCTCCAAGATTCTGACTGACTCTTTTTCTGGGAAATGTAAGGCGAGGGTTGGCAGGAAAAACCACAGCCCTGTCGCTACAGCAATGGGCTCTGAGAGGCCAGCTAATTATCTCACCCTTCTCCCCATTCTAGAGTCCCCTCACCCTTGGCTATCATTTCTTCTTTTCATTTTTTGAGATGGAATCTCACTCTTATTGCCCAGGCTGGAGTGCAATGGTGCAATCTCAACTCATCGCAACCTCTGCCTCCTGGGTTCAAGTGATTCTCCTGCCTCAACCTCCCGAGTAGCTGGGATTACAGGCGCCCACTACCATGCCCGGCTAATTTTTAAAAAAATATTTTTAGTAGAGACGGGGTTTCACTATGTTGGTCAGGCTATTCATGAACTCCTGACCTCAGGCAATCCACCTGCCTCTGCCTCCCAAAGTTCTGGGATTACAGGCGTGAGCCACTGCACCCAGCCGGCTATCATTTCTGCTGGTCTCAGTGGCTTACCTGGTCGGGTGACCTAGACACTCATCTTTGATGGATCTGAAACCCTGGTTGCCATGTCCTTCTCAGGCTGCAACCATGGCACTTGTCTATTTACCACCAAAATTGGGAAAGGGGGTATGAGGAGATTCTCTTGGAGATGTCCTAGGTGCTAAGTACATATACTTTTTCCTGGCACCATTGTATACCAGCAGTTTCACTTTCTCCTAATGATCAGAGTCAATGAATCCCCAATATGACACACCACCAGAACAGTGACTCCTTTTTTCTTGTCTCTTTTAATAAGAAGCCTAAAGTAATTGGGCAGCAGCTATAAAAATTAATGGGACTGGCTGTGTACAGTGGCTCATGCCTGTCATCCCAGCATTTTGGGAGGCCGAGGCGGGCAGATCACTTGAGGTCAGGAATTTGAGACCAGCCTGGTCAACTTAGTGAAACCCCATCTCAACTAAAAACACAAAAAATTAGCTGGGCGTGGTGGCACGCGACTGTAATCCCAGCTACTCAGGAGGCTGAGGCAAGAGAATTGCTTGAACTTGGGAGGCTGAGGTTGCAATGAGCCCAGATTGCACCACTGCACTCCAGCCTGGGTGGCAGAGGGAGACTCTGCCTTAAAAAAAAAAAAAAATTAATGGGACTACTGCTGCTGTGTCCCCTAGCGTGTTTCCCTTTAGAGTATAAGACCTGTAAACGCACAGAGTACAGAGCTGCAAGGACAGAAAGCACACATTCCTAATGTGGCAGTGATGATACGCACAGCCACTTCTACTTTCACCGTTTCCTAGACCCAAGTATTCTTCCCAATGGGGACTGAACACCATACATTGGTAGCTGATTTAGGATGTGTCCTGCAGTCTGGAAAATGATGCCCCATCCTCTTAGGTTGTCATCTGTAAGTCTAAGCTTCAGTGGCCCCCCTTCAAAGGCTGTTTTATCCCTTCAGCAGGCTGGCAGGGTCT